TGGAGAACGTGATTTCTAGGAGTAGAAAACTGCCCAAGAAGGAAATGTAATTTTCTTTTTAAACTGTCTATATATAGTGATATGGATCATCTTGGTATTCCTACATCCGTTTTTTAGATAGTTTACTTGGACACACTCAAATAAAACCCTAAAGCAAATATGTCATAGTGAAAAGCCCACCTTCCCAAGTCCTTTCAGAACTTCTGCTTTCCAACACCTGAGGAGAGCAGGAGAGGCCGGGCGCTCCCCGTGCCACCAGCAGGAAGGCTGGAGCTCCTGCCCACTGCCGCCCTGGCCATTCCCTTTCCTCCCGTGCGACGAGCTCTGCTGTCACGCTCTGGAGCACAACGCTGAGCACACCCTGGTCTCTCCCTGGGCCCAGAGCTCCTCAACACGTGTGAGCACATCTCAGCTTCAGCCTCCACAGAGCAGCAGCCTTTAGAGAGCTCCCAGAGCTCAGCCCCGGGGTGGCAGCTCTCTCTGGGGGCTCCCACCCTCGCTGCTCCCTGCTCTCGCGCAGCTCTGTGATAACCAAGTGCTGAGCACTGCGCCCCTCGCAGAGCCAGGCCCTGCCTTCACATGGGGGAGCCTCTGGTGCACACAGAGGGCAACATCTGCAGCTCTGACACTCCAGATCTGCTCAAAAATAGCCAAAATCCTGCCCACTGCTGCCTTCCATTACTACTGGCTCGTGCTGAGCCTTTGCAATGGCTCACCAAGTTTCCTGTCTCATCCCTTGGCTGATCACCACCTTTTCCTCAGCCAGTCCCATAAGTAATCTCAGTTCAGATTACTTGCCCAGCAAAATGGCTTCATTGGCACCTTCTACCTTTTCTAATACCTTTAGATTTAGATACTTTTCTTTATGTCTGAAGTTCCCCTTGATAAATGGCACCCAGCAATGTCAGCAGTAAAATGAACAATTCCCAATTAAGCAGCTACAAAGGATTGTAAAGTACAGGTTCTACTTTTAATACATTTTCTTTTTGTTGTAAGTAGTTATTTCCTTATCCCCAGCGAACAGTTTCTAAAGAGAATACTGCAAAAGGCCTACATATGGCTCCATATGGAGTGGGACATAGCTTAGAGGACAACAAAATGAAGGAGTGACATCTGCATTTTGGTCTACAAAAAATTGTTTTTAAACAAGTGGGACCTGTGTTCATGTGCATGAGAAAAAAATCCAAACCCACAAAAACATGCAGAATAAAAGCCACTTATGCAGCATAACTCTCACGTGTCTGGATTCACTGGACCAATGAGAACTGAAACTGAACCCTTCCCTAGATGAGGGATGTAATGAAAAATCCTACAAAACAAGCTTAAAACAAAGCATGTTTACAATAGTCATAAGTATAATAGGCAATAAGCACAAACTACAAAATATTCCAGTTCTTTGAGGTCTTTCTATTTTAATTCTGTGCAATTTCATTAACCCCCTTGCAAGGAGAGGTGCTTGAAGGAACTCTATAATATAGGTCATTTTTAGGAGACATTTATATTCCATTGTTAATTGGCAAAGCAAGGAGGAATGAAATAGCCTGGGAAGTATCCTACAGGGAATAGCTTGCATTGGCAAACAAAATGAGCAAGTAATCTCACAGATCTTTTTCATTTTCTAAAATCCTTCTACAGCACCACATTCCCAAGTATGAGCGTGAAATGCAACAAATTAAGATTAGTACAGATCATTTTGTGCTGTGCCAACAATTAAGTGATGAGCAGGGAAAGAGAACCCAACCCCCGTTTCTTCTGTGCACCGAGCCAACAGCTGGAGGTGGCAAACACAGGGAAAGACATCAACCCCAAAAATGCTGTGGCAACAATGTGAAGCCAAAATAGAACATTTGGTTTCATCATGATGGAGGGAGACTTGGTTGGACTACATTTCCCATCATGCACAGTGCAGGAATATGACTGACAGTTTTAGTAACTTCATTTTCATAAAAACAGTCTTGTGACTCAGCTTCAAGAAAAAAAAATACTGTGTGAAATTGCTTGGTGTTATTTAAAAGGACACAGACTAAATGATTGTTTATCAGTACACAAAATACTGAGTGAAATTTTCACACAGGAGTAGCAGCCTAAATAGTATTAACAGTGCTTTAAACTGTAATGAATTCCCAGTCTAATTCACTATGAGGTTTCAATTTATACCACATTTAGAGTACTCCAGGTTCAAGTAATCACTGCAGTAATTAGCTTACTTCCAGTCCTCCAAAATAAACCCACTAATTTTTGCAATCAGCCTTCATTTGGTTAATCACCAGTTTAATTGATTTAATTAGTTTGATCTGCAAAATTAGTCAAGTGTAAATACTGTTTTGTAAACAGAGTTTAGCTCCAAGCTGTAATGTAGGGAATTCTAATTCAAAGCTAGAGTTAATAATAAAAACCAACACACACATGATTTTTGTTCCAGTAACCAACAGTCTTAAGTCTGCAAGACACAAATTTACACTTTTAATAGATGATGTGATTTTATATTAATGAAAAAACTGAGGATATTGTCTCTCAGAATTTTATTCCTGACTTAGGATTTTTACACTCCAGCAATCGACACTAGAACAGTGTTCTTACTTTCTCTAGGTTAAGAGAGAAAATTTTCCTTTTTAACTTTTTGGTTTCAAAAGGTAATAAAAGGCATTTATTAATAAGCTAAACCAATGGAAAATTTATATAGCAGGAAAGCTGCAGTTACTCCTAAACAAACATTTCCAAACACTTAAGAAGGCACAAGAGTACAAGAAGCAGGCCAAGCAGCCAACATACCAGGCAGAAGGAATGTCTAAACAAAAATAATGCCCTGAAATTAGAAATTGAACAAAATTTGAAATAGTTCTGGAACCAAAGATTTGGCATTCTAGCACAGCTCCATCAGCTGCTGACCTTCCTAAAAGTCCCGCTGATCCCTCTGAGAATCGCTGTGTATTTCCTGACAGACACACAAACTCACCCCGTACACATGAAGCTCCGTAGGGTCACCCCAGAGGCTGCAGAGCATTTGCTCAAAGCAAGCTAAGATGCTCAGGACAGGCAGGTTGGCATGTCCCTGAGAGGTGACAAATGCTGTCACCCAGCGCGGTGTGTCACTGTCACCCAGCGCGGTGTGTTGCTGCCACCCAGTACAGTGTGTCACTGCCACCCAGTGCTGTGTGTCACTGTCACCCAGTGCGGTGTGTTGCTGCCACCCAGTACAGTGTGTCACTGTCACCCAGCGCGGTGTGTCACTGTCACCCAGCACGGTGTGTCACTGTCACCCAGTGCTGTGTGTTGCTGCCACCCAGTACAGTGTGTCACTGTCACCCAGTGCTGTGTGTCACTGCCACCCAGTACAGTGTGTCACTGTCACCCAGTGCGGTGTGTCGCTGCCACCCAGTGCGGTGTGTCACTGTCACCCAGTGCGGTGTGTCGCTGCCACCCAGTACAGTGTGTCGCTGTCACCCAGCGCGGTGTGTCACTGTCACCCAGCGCGGTGTGTCACTGTCACCCAGTGCAGTGTGTTGCTGCCACCCAGTGCTGTGTGCCACTGTCACCCAGCATGGTGTCACTGTCACCCAGCATGGTGTGTCACTGTCACCCAGTGCTGTGTGTCGCTGCCACCCAGTACAGTGTGTCACTGTCACCCAGCGCGGTGTGTCACTGTCACCCAGCGCGGTGTGTCACTGTCACCCAGTGCGGTGTGTTGCTGCCACCCAGTGCTGTGTGCCACTGTCACCCAGTGTGGTGTGTCACACAGCCCAGCCTTCCACCCTAGCCTTGCAGAGAAAGGGAGTGACTGGGATTTACCAGCTGTGACCATGAAAGATTTCTTCCCAAGGAATACAAATCCAGGATGTAAATAAGGGATCTGTTCTTAGCTCTGCTGGGCTGCCTCTGACATCACCATCAAGTCATTCAGACTTTCTGAATGTCAGTTCAAACAGTAAATGTAAATAGTGTTCATTCCTAACTCAAAAAGAGATTGCATCAATTATCGAAAAGGGGAAAATAAAAAATCCTATTGAAAAATATGACTCTATGGACAAATCATCAAAAAGTTCTCCGATTATTTTTCCCTATAAAACTGTATTTATATTCCAGTTTGTTTTAAATTAATCCTCCATTCTATTTGAGTTTATTTAAAATCTTCCCTTTTTTTGTAGCAAGCTTCACATCTCTCATCTCAATCTTGTGCCTAAACATGAAAGTATGTATACAACTTATTTTTCTCCCATTTCCACCACCCCCTTTTTCCCTGAAAACTTTCAAAATATTTTGAAATTGAAGAAATGTAACCACTATCCTCAAACACTTCAGGATTTCCTCCTATCCAACACTGAAGCACCAAGATGTTTCCTATTCCCATCCGAGTAGCAGTTGCCTCTGGGCAGTTTTCCTTATCTCCTGTTAACGGGCCCATCAATGACTCAGAGATAACACTCTCCAGAGCTCCTAGACAGAGGAGCAGCCTTTCCACAGGGTTCTGAGCAGACACAGCAACCGCATCTGCCACTCCAAGAGGACTGCAGCCACTCCAGTTTGGACTGCTACCAGCACGCTGGCCAGAGGGGTGTCAGGTTGTATTCTGACTTTGTCAGTGGTCTTCCTTTTCTGTCATTGCATGTATTTTTGTCTTTTTCCCTTTTCCCAATAAATTGTATTTCTAACTTGGAGTCTCTCACTGGTTTTGTTTTCAAACCAGAACACCTCCACCGTCTGATAAATTATCTCCTGACAGCAGTCTATTTTCCTAACTGCAGAGACATTGCACTTTCAGAGGAGGAAAAGGAAAGAGGGAAGAAGGAAAGAAAAAACATACAAAAACCCAATTACCATTTTTTTTCAGGTCTCATTGCTGTATGAAATGGAATGCACCTGACAAAAGATATATTTAAGGAAAAAAATTCATCCATGAAAACAAGTTTCTGTTCACTACAATTTTAATTTCTCACAAAATACCTGCAAATTCACATCAAATGCTTTCTTTGAAGTATTTAATTTTTTGTTTCTTTGATTAGGGGGGAAAATACCAGCAACAACAAATCCAAGAGCATCTCATTGGAGCCCTTCAAACTTTAGAAAAGCATTCATCCAGTTCTGGACAGGAGCAGAAGCCAGCCTGCAACACTGCTCAGCCCACATTCCACCCTGGAAAGGCACTGGAAACCCACAAGGTCTAAACCAAGAAATTGGTTTAGACTGAATTCTGGTTTGTACATGTGTGGTTACCACTGAGGGGGTTCATAGTCCCAGTGTTTTTATCCTCATGATTTGCACTGATCTCGTATTCGTCATTTCTAATTATCAATCAAACTGACTGAACTAAGTCAGCCACTCTGCAGAACACCTATTTATGCACATAATCAAAAGCAGAGCCATGGCACAAAACCTGAAGAGGTTCCCAAACCCCCTCAGTGATGGGTCTCTTCATGGAAGAAATAGCCCTGCCCAGCCCAGCCCCATCCCCTGAGCAAACACAGCCTGTGTAAGTCCCTCAGTCTCTCTGCAGGGCTTCTCTGTGAGTAAGTAACATTTGCTGCACGAAAACAAAACCTCTAATCACCAAGCCCTTGAAGAACAGTACGCTGTGGGACAGATCACAATATTTTAACATGTTCATTTCTTTTGGTGTTTCCACCAGTGCTGCTTTAACAGTGATACAAACTGCACATGGGGTACTCATTACACCACACTGGAGAGAGCAGGATCTTGTAAATGTGCATTAAAGTGGGGTTACATTTTCCTGCCCTGCACACTGTGTCTGAGCTATGGCACAAACTTGTGTCCTTGAGAGCAGGAGTTGGGGCATATTCCTGGCACGCTGCCACTGTCAGTGAGGTATGTCCTTTTTACAGATGTTCCTTGCACTATTGGGAACAAACGGCCCATCCACATGCACAAAGACATACCTACGTAGACAGAAGGTATGCAGAAGAGGAAAAAAAAAAATATGTCTATACATTCTGTGAAAAGTAGATTTAAACAAACTCAAAGTGTGGACAGCTCCCATTTTCTTAAACACAAGTCAGAGATAAAAACCACACAAATTCTACACAAGTGAGTGTAGAAATGTGCATCACTGGGTTTAACCAAATGCAAAGCAGAATTAAAGCTTAATAGCTTTTTTGCCATATATAAACAACTAATTAACTAGTTCTACAAATAAACTCCAATTTGTCCCTTCATATCCTGTTGAAAGATGTCATATGACTATGAACACTGGGAAATTTCCAGAGTTTCTAAAGCCAATTCCTGCTGAAGATCCAGCACATTTCCTGTTTTTGAGAAGTGAAAGGTGCTCCCAGAGCTGTTTGATGAAGGGGCTGGACAAGAACTTCAGAGTCCACAGTGATCTTACATCAAAGAACCCTGCAGGTAGGACAGCTTTATTAGCTTATGAGACTTTAAAAAATATTTTAGCTTTTGCATACCTATAAAAAGAACACTTCTAAAAGTTTAGATGACGGGAATCTATTTCATTTCAGAGTCCCATCCCCACAATCACCAGGGCAGGATCTCTGCACTGGCATTTTGGGAGGATCTCCACAGTTCTGTCAAAGTTGCCAGAATATATGAGATAATGTTTAGACCAGATTCCCGCTCTCAGTTTTATGCTTTCTATGGAAAGGTTCTGCATACGCCTGGAGGCATGTGGATTCAAGATATATAGTCCAGAATAAATACTGCTAGTGCTGTCATCAATATTCTTTAAAAAATCAGTTTAGTAGAACAAACTTAATATTGACTTAATAACATGTACTATGTAGAGACAAAGTTGTTGCTTTAGTAGTTAGAAACCCTAAGAGCCTTTATCATTGAACTTTATCACTGAACTTGGGCTCCAAAATCCTGACCACATCAACCGTATTTTAACTAAACTGCAATTTACTTGATTTTATTTGTATAGCAAGTTCTTTTAGCTTTGCTCTCACACAAATAAGAAATTAAGGGCTTGAAATACAGTCTGTGTTCTTATTTATATGTGTTATTCATGTTTTGCCCCAACTGAGGGATTTTCTAATTTCTAAGATTTCTTAGGCAATCAAGAGTAACTCTGAAACAACAATGAATGGATAATGAGTACACTTGCTATATTTGATTTAATGCTTTTGGCCAGGTTGAACCTATTTGTGTTTGTTTCCTTCAGCCATATGTTAGTAAAGTTTCATTAAAATGAAAAAGGATCATACATATTCCTGCAAAGCATCCTGCATAATCTTCAGCAGGTTTCTTTCAGGCCAGGTAATTTCCTGTTTTGAAGAAGCAAACAAGTATCAATGGAAACTTTAAAACTTACTTGAATTTTAACATTCACATCAACTTATGTTACTGATCATGAATGCTAAGAACTGATTAAGACTGGTCCATAAATATAACCCTTAAAAAGGAAAAATAGAGCTACACACAGAGAGCAATTCTTGTTGGAGTCACAACAGAGATTTCCCCTCACCATGATGGTACTGGTTACCCTGTTCCTCCCTTTCCTTATGGTTTTGAATGCTAATTAAGACCACCTCATTCTGCTGAATGCCTGTGAGGTCACATCCCCACAGCAATTTTCACAAATGCTGACAATTACCTGCAAATACAATCAGCAGCCCCTTGAGCACCCTTCGCATCAGGTGGCAGTCCTTACCTCTGAGACAACGTAGTAGGAACCTGCACAGAACTTTTCCATGGCATATAAACAGGTTTTTAAACGAGTGATCATCACCTCATTTTTTATAATCTATAAGATCCTTATAGTCATGTTTTATTGTCCAAATTTATCCCTCTAAATCATGTATCATCTTCCACGGGTCTGTTTCTGCAGCTCTAGGATTGTTAATTTGCTCTGCAGCACGTGGCTGTATCCCGTACTGTAACAGCCACAATGAACTAAGAAAGCTTCTGAGGATACTGGTGATACTTTGTATTTCAGACTTCATAGAACGCATTGGTTTTAATGACAAATCTATTCCCGAGCCTCTCTCCTCAGGACTTTTTAATAAGTAGGTGATATCACATGACTGCCATCATCTTCAAACAGAAGTCATTATGCTGAGACCAATAAGCCACAAGGAGCAAATACTGATATTTTTAAGATTATTAATGGAATTGAGGCCTGAAAATTGCAAGAATCAGAGAGACACTTGTAGGAATAATGCAATCCAAATTAACAGCAACAGGTTTATATACCTGAAGATAGCAAATGTCACCCATAAAGGAAAACGTTGTCAGAATAAATTTCTTAAAAGTAATGAGAATGAATGAAGATATAAAATCTGCCTGGAGACTGGCACTTCACCTATTCCCCCACCTTCTGTCTGCACCATACAGTGCAAGTCAGCTGGGCAGAGAAAGAGTTAATAAGTCCTCTTCATGCAGTTCTATGCTTTCATGTGATGATTATTTGGCTGTATTCTACTTGCATTAGGAAATTATGCTTTCATAAACATAAACCAGTGCCTTTCTTGAACCATATCAGCATTTTAAGGCATAGCCACAATTCTAAACCTGGGTTGAAAACACAGGTTTGGAAAACATTGACCTGTCTTCAAAAGGAACAGCCAATCTTCCACACATCTGAGTGTCTGCACACACATGCACAGCACATTGGCTACATGTGAGAGAAGCTGCAAAGACATTTCATGGCATTTGAGCCTTCCCTCAATCCCTCATCTTCTGCAACACAGTCCCAGGATAATTTGGCAGATGCTCTCACCCACTTCCCCCAAGAGCTGCAGCTTTAGATCCCTGCAAGCCCTGCTGAGGTGTGTGTAGGCACAGATAAAAAAAGGTGCCACTGAATTGATCCCAAAGCTCTGCTGACAACCCTGCTCCATTTGAACGCTCCCTCGGCTGGGTGGCTCTGCTGTTCCTGCTGCTGCCTCACCCCCAGGAGCCTTTTTGGTCACTGAAGTCTTCACGGTCGCTGGGAAGTTTTGCCCATTCTAAACTATAGCTTCATAGTCTCTCCAGTGAAGCAGCTATGTCAAATAAATATGTTTTACAAACAGTGGTGTTCATTTGATGCTGAGGTACCACAACCACTCGAAACACTAAACTCCAGTCAACCTTTATAATGCCTTTTTTTTTTTCTTGGCAGCATTGCACATCCTTATATAGCTACTGTGAATATTCAAATACTGTAATTGGAAATGATTTACTTTGTTTTGAATTAACTAAAATTCCATTGTTAAGCACAAATACTGCTTCACTAAATCATCAAGCTTTTAATAGGTCCACATGAGCAGGTTACCGAGCGTGTTAGGATTTATAATGCTCCTGGGGAGCTGACCACTGTATTATGCTTCCTGCTGCTAGGTAATATGCATGACACATTTCTGGACACTAATTCATTTATTTAATAGTAGCAGTATGCAAAAACAGAGTTCAAAATGAGGCTGACAAAGAAGGTATAAAAGTTTTATTAATCCATAGCTAATCAAAGGCCAGAGGAAAGCATATAATGGTGGCATTTACAGACCATATCGAATGTGAATAAATTAAATTTTTGTTTCCTAAAATCTTACTAATAGGATGTATTCAGCTTGAAACATTTATACTTTTAATTACAGTGGCAGCCAATTTAGAGTAGGTATCTGGTTGTACTGCACTTAAAACTTTGCATCAAGGATCTCCACAAATCCCCTCATCAGCTATTCTTTGAATCTGATTTGTTACTGTGTGCACTGTGTCCATGCTCAGAAATAATAACATTATTTACTTTCTCATTTAATTATACAGTAACAGGGGGAAAGGTCACTGAGGAAAAGTATTGTCTTCCTGTGAGAGAAATCCCCCTGAAAGACTCGGCATCATGTACATACAATATAACTTTGCAGATCCTATCCTTCATATGTTTCTATACAAGACTAAATCGATAGAACTACTCATATGGAAACACTCACTGCTTCAGGCAAAAGTTTTCATAGGATCATAATCTCATTTCCAGCAAGTTATCAAACACTCAGATTGCACTGCAGATTTTGTTTGAAAAAAGATCTAATAGTCAGTCTAATAAACATAAATATTAGATGACTCACAAATATGAAGAAAATAAAAAAGAAAATTAATAGAAAAATGAGATCATATTAA